GCGGTCATCTCTGGTCCTTCCTCAACCAATTTTGATGGCGAGCCCGGCTCGAAAAGCTTCGGCATGGGCATCCAAGGCATTTGCATCTTGCCCGCGCATCTATCAATTTCGACCGCATTTGGCGCTCCTTCCTGCAGCAGCTCGACTGCAGCCCCCAGCAGCTCCCACGAAGACGTCCCAAGAGTTTCGTTCCAACCCGCGGGCTTTCCTCGAAGAAGAACGGCGGCATACAGGGTCCGGCTTGAATAAGGAGCACTTACTTTTCAAAAGGGGCTCGGTCGTTCTTGTGGCTTGCATGCGTTCTACTACTTTTTGGCAGCGATCCCCCCTGGTGTTCCTTCGGACTTCATAGATTTACTTGGAACAAAAAAGGGCTTCGTTCCTTATTCAACGTTCCTTAGGTCAGGCCGAATGCTGTAAACATGAACTTCCGACGGTCCTGGCGAATTGCTTGGATCTTCGTGGGCCCTCCCCCCTGGCGGCGCCTCCGCCCCCTGGAGCGCTCCGCGCGCCAGGGAGGGGTCGCCCGGCGAATCAGCAGAGGAAAAAACACAGACAAAATTAATCGTCGATTCCCGCGAAAATATTGGAAAATATGGGAAGTGGGCGGAAGACAAGAACCCAGAAAATATTTGACAATATGGGGAATCCTGGGATTTGTGTGTATTTTTATGTGTGTGCCACTTTTGACTTCGAGAGTTTATGTTTATGCAGGTTGTTGTCCCCTTGGCATCGCTCGGACGTGTGAACCTTCTTCTCGGCGAGGACCATCGAGGAGAATCCTGGACCTTCTGGCAACAAAAAGAGGAAGAAAGAACGCACGAGACCAGAGCATGCGCGGGGGAGTGGGCGTCCGAGCGATGGCAAGCTCCTCTATCCCAGACCTCCCAGCGTTGTGATCTTTTCACAGCGTCGACCCCCAGAGGCCGCAGAGGTCTGGACCCGGGACCAGCTTTTCTCGGGCGTAGCCCGATTTTTTTCTCGCGAGGTAAATTGACTGAACTGAATTGAATTGAACAGACTGGTCGCACTGGTTACGCGACGGTTTTATTCTCGGCCGCCAAGGGCGCAACTTATGGCGCAACCGATCGGAGACGGTTCTATTCTCGGCCGCCGAGGGCGCAACCTATGGCGCAACCGGTGCGAGACGGTTTTATTCTCGGCCACCGAGGGCGCACCCTATGGCGTAATCGATAGGAGACGGTTTTATTCTCGGCCGCCGAGGGCGCACCCTACGGCGCAACCGATAGTCGACAGTTTTATTCTCAGCCGCCGCAACCGATTGCGCACTGGGCTGGAGTAGGAGGAAGACGAGGAAGACGAAAAGGATGAGAAGGACGACGACGATCAGTTTGGGGAGGAGGACGGGGAGAAGTACGAGTAGTACGAGGACGAAGTGTGGGCATTCGAATGCGTGCGGGGCTACGCCCGAATTATGCTCGCCGTTTGCGCTGGCGGTGGGGCCCAAGCGGCGAGCTGTCTTGTGATTTATCCTGCATCGTCTGTTGACGGCCCCGAGGCCCTGCAAAGGGCCCCCGGAGGCCGAAGACAGCGAAACACCTCCCGCAGCGATTCTGTCACAACGCGAGGGGGCCAGGGGTGCCCGCGCGCAACTTTTCCTTGACTTCTATTGTCTCGCTGGAGAGAAACAAATTACGCCAGAGAAAAACCCCAATCAGTAGATGGTCTGATCGATAAGGAGATCGACTGGGAACCCGGGAACCCGGAACCTACGAAATCGGGCCGGAACCAATAACCAGGAACCAGGGAACCAGGACATCGGAACCCGGAACCCAGCCGGCCACCAAAATTGGCGGGACTTTTTCGCCAAATTTTTCAATTTCCGCTCGGATCCCTTCAGTGCAAGGTTTGATGGGGGAAAAGAGGCAACACTCTTGCAGACAGTCGCACTAAGCAGAGGTCTGAAGCAAGACGGCCCCCCCTCCCCCCCCCCCCTGGGCCGCCCGATGCCGAGACGCCGCATGACAAAAAACGCCCACCAGGGGGGATCCCCGCGCGCGAGCCTGGCCAGCGGCCAGGCTCCGCCAGCACCACACGGACCACGTGCTCGGGGAGCTCCCCGAGGCGCCGGGCGGGGGCGCCCGGCTCGTGCTCGGGGCCCTATAGAGAGGCGGGGGTCAGTGCAAGCGGGGGTCCGCCAGGGCACGGGATCCTGCAGGATCCTGCGAAGACCCCCTCTGGCTGACCCAGGTTAGCGAGCCGCGAGGCGGCCGCGCATATTGGCTGACCCGGGTTTGCGAAGCCCTGCGTTGCAGTTATTGCAGTTTTTGGTTTGACCCGGGTTAGCAGATCCCCGATGTGCGCCCTCTGCTCTCTGGCGGCGGCCGCGGGGGCACTCCAGCAGTGGCGAAGCGTCCTTGGCTCGCCTGGAGGCCCAGCAAGCACTGTTCTACTCTACGAGAGCCTGTTGCGGTCTGCACGGCATGTGCTCAGAGCATTCCTGGTTGGGATTGCCGTGTTTTAACACACAGGGCTTGTGTTCTAAGAACCTTGCTCTTGTTCTTGGAACATGTTTGGGTTCTGAGAACATGTCGTGGTAGGCCTACAGGAATGCCGGGACGGTCGGTCCCTGCTCCACCCTTCTTGAGTCCCTCCAGCCCGACCTGAGACGCCCCAGCAGCCGTCGAAATCACCCTGCTTGAACCAGACCTTCTCGCCGTCCTCGATCTCTGGCGGCGGCCGCGGGGGCGCGCAGCCCACACGCGGGGCCCTTGGCCTGCAGAGCACATCTCGGCTCCTCCGAGCCGGTTCCAATTCGGTTCTCGATGGACTCCGAGTCCGATTCGATTCGGCGCGGGGTCCCGATCTGGCTTCCGATTTCTCAGCGGAGGCCCACTGGGCTGCCGATTTCCGCCGATGCGACTCCTCCCGGCTTGGCTGCCGATTTCCGCCGATCCGACTCTTTTCGGTCGCCGATCCGACTTATCGATTCGTTTCTGGGCTCTCCTGCCAACGGGGGCCAGCTCTGTAAGGGTCATGAGAGTCTAGACATCCCAGATGGGGTCGGAGTAGATGGGATCGGAGGATCGCGCCACATCGCCGATGCATCGCCGATGCGGCTCGATGAGGAGCCCAATTTGCTTCACGTCGACGTCGCCGATGCATCGCCGACGTCGACGATGCATCGCAGGTGCATCGCTGGTACGTCGCCGATGCATCATAAGCTCTGTGGGGGTCGTGAGACTCGAAGAAGAAGAAGAAGAAACTGCATAAGCATAAACGTTAGGCGCTCCGCGCGGATTTCTCGGATCCGCCCTGGGCCCCTGGCCATGAGACCCGAAGAAGAAACGTGCTCTTGAGTGATGGTGTTCTCCTTTCCTTAGGTCGACTGTAACCCCGCTTCTCGGGCCCGCCCGCCCGCAGTACCCCCATCTCCCCGAGGGGGGGTGGTGCGCAGTGCTGGATCGCCCAGGCGCACGTGGGGCCGCCCGAGGCAAAATGGTCGGGTCGTCGGCCGACACCTCCAGGGCTCGTGTCGATTCCTCCGGTGCGATGCGATCTCGATAGGATTCCTCCGACTCGATCGGACTCCGATCCGACTCGTCGATTCGAACTTGGGATCTCCTGCACCTCCTCTCCTCGCCCTGGATCGCCCTTGGCGATCGCCGAACAGCACCGAAAGCGGATCCTTCGAGCCTCGCAAGCCTGGGAACCACCCCGGAGCGGCCGCAGCGCCCCTCCCCCCCCCCGGGGCGACGCGCGCGCCCACGCCAAGAAGTCTCGGCGCACGTGCGCCGTGGCGGGCGTTTCCTGGCCACACCGCTCGGGGAGCGACACGCTGCGAGAGGCTTGAGTTGCAGGTTCGGTTCGGGCGCTGCGCCTCCAAGGAGGATCCCCGACGTCTCTAAGCCTCCCGGATGGGGTCGGAGTGGAGGGGGTCGGAGGATCTCGCAGCATCGCCGATGCATCGGCGATGTGGCTCGTGGTGGAGCCCGAGTTGCTCCACGCTGGCGTCGCCGATGCATCGGCGATGTCGCCGAGGCATTGGCGATGTATCGCCGATGTATCGGCGATGCGGTGCGATCCTCCGACCCCGTCCACTCCGACCCCATCATTCGGGGGTGGACAGAACCCCCACCCTGACACGTCGATGAGTGAATTCATTATCCGTTCTCGGTTCTCGAGGGGGCGCCGCGGCCGTCATTTTCCAGGCTTGCGCCCGCCAGGGTTGGGTCCGAGGTCGTCTTCACTATAGACTACGTTTTACTGCAGGGGGTTCTGTCCATCCCCGACTCCCTGGGAGGCCCTGCGACGTCAGGACCTGCTCCTCGCGTCGACCCCTCCTCGGAGGCCTCGACCCGTGCCTCGGGACCGGTGCCCGAGTCGTCGCTTGGCGGTTCCACGGGCCGGGCGAGGGCCCCAGAGGCCAAGAATGGCCAGAATTCCTCCTCCTCCTCCTCCTCCTCCTCCTCTCCCTCCTCCTCCTCCTCCTCCTCCTCCTCCTCCTCCTCCTCCTCCTCCTCCTCCTCCTCCTCCCCCTCCTCCTCCTCCTCCTCCTCGTCCTCCTCCTCCTCCTCCTCCTCCTCATCCTCCTCCCCCTGCCCTCTTGTGTCGGGGGTGGGCAGGCCTCCTGCCCTGACGCGTCGAGTAGCGAATGGGCCGTTGTCGGTTCGCGAGAGGGCGTCGCGGCCGTCATTTTTGCGGGGCCAGGTCCGTCGGTGTTCGGTCCCAGGCCGTTTTCACTAAGGCGGTGTGCTATAGAGGGAGGTTTGTCCACCGCCGAAACCGCCCGTCGCGATGTTTGCTCATGTCCTGCGCGCTCCATTCCGCCACGCGCAGAGAGGGGGGGGGGGAGGGGGGAGGGCTTCTCAGCCCCACTTCTCAGAGGGCGCGGGCCTTGTCTACAGATGCAGGGCCAGGCGCCCTCTGAGAAGCAGCCTCCTCCTAAGGAGCCCTGCCCCCTCCCCCCTCCACCCCCTCTGCGCGCACCGCCAAGCGGCGGCGGCGGCGTGCCGCGCGCCCGCGCGCACGGGCGGCAGGTGCGCGGGCCGCCCTGCGAGAGCGGGCGCGGCGAGGCCACCCTGGAGAGGGCCGCGTCCGCCCCTGGGCTGCACCCGCCGCGGGGGCGCGTGTCGGCGAGCCGCCCCGCCGCCCCGCCGGCCCCCTGCCCCTCGGGCTGCGCGCAGGCCTCGAGTCGGGCACGTCCTCTACAGAGGGGAATATACACACACACACACACACACACACACACACACACACACACACACACACACACATATATATATATATATATAATATATATATATTATTATATACATATATATATATATATATATGAAACAGCGTGTTCTACCGCTCCTGGCGGAAAACCGCGGGGGTCACTACCGGTTCGAACCCCTCCCCCCCCCCTCCGGAAAACCGGGGGGGGTCACTACCGGTTCGAACCCCTCCCCCCCCCCCCCCCAGTTCATCATGAAAAGGGGGGGGGGTCACTACCGGTTCGAACCCCCCCCCCCTCCTCGAAAACCGGGGGGGGTCACTGCCGGTTCGAACCCCCCCCCCCCCCGTGCGGACAGTGGTGGGGACGGTGTTGGTGGGGACAGTGGTGAGGGGACAGCGGGGCAGTGGTGGGGACAGTGGGACAGAGGGACAGTGGTGGGGAAGGTAGTGGTGGGGACAGTGGTGGGGACAATGGTGGTAACAGCGGGGACAGTGGACAGTGGTGGGGACGGTGGTGGTGGGGACAGTGGTGTGGGGACAGTGGGAATGATGTGGAAACAGTGGGACAGTGGAGGGTACAATGGTGGTGGGGACAGTAGGGAAGGCGGTGGCGAGGACGGCGGTGGGAAAATGAGACAGAGGTACAGTGGGGATAGCGGTGGGGACAGTGGGGAGAGTGGTGGGAACAGTGGGACAGCTCAGTGGGACAGCGGAGGAGTCAGTGGGACAGTGGGGACAGTGGGGATAGTCGGGCAGTGGTTGGGGCCGTGGAGACAGTGGGGAGAGTGGAACCGTGGTGGGAACAGTGGTGGGGACAGTGGGGACAGTGCGACAGTGGTGGGGGCACTGGTGGGGACAGTAGGGACGGTGGTGGAACCAGTGGGGACAGTGGTGGTGAGGACAGTGGTGCTGGGAACAACAGTGGGGGATGTGATGCGGACGGTGGTAGGGACCGGGAGTCGTTTGCTGGCGGTGCGTGTGGGGGGGGGGTCGAACCGGTAGTGACCCCCCTCCGGTTTTCGAGGGGGGGGGGGGTTCGAACCGGTAGTGACCCCCCCCCCGGTTTTCGGGGAGAGGGGGGGGGGGTTCGAACCGGTAGTGACCCCCCCCCGGTTTTCGAGGGGGAGAGGGGGGGGGGTTAAGGGGTTCAGGGGGGGGGTTTTGCCGGGGGAGGGGGGTGGTGGGGGGTCCAGGAGGAGGGGGGGGGGGGGGGGGGGGGGGGGGGGGGGGGGGGGATTTTCGGAGGGGGGGGGGGGCGACCCCCGGGCTCCGGAAGAAAAGGTTGGCAATTTTCCACAGTAAAGCGGCGGTGGATCACGCTCTCTCTCTCTCTCTCTCTCTCTCTCTCTCTCTCCCTCTCATATATATATATATATATACACACGCAGAAACAGCAAAAACGTAGTGTGGGGACGATGTCTCTACTACTTTTTGGCAATATTGTCGATCATGGTTTGACCATGTCTTGTGTTTCGTCCGAAGTCCGCCTGCAGGAAGACACGCCCGACCTGACGCAAGCCAGACCTCGAACGCAGTGGAAATTATCCTGGCGAAGGGCCCAACCATGCGCAGTTGTGGATAACGCAGGTGTGCGAGTCGTCCGCGGTGGAGCTCCCAGTGGGGCCACGAGACGTGTCAGGGGTGCGCCGAGACGGGCATGACGCCCGCATGTGGACGGTGCATCTCGGCCCCCGGCCAGGGCTCGTTTCAGTTCCTCCGACTCGATTCGATTTGATTTCGATCGGTTCGGATTCCAATTCGATTCGCCTTCGGATTCAATTGGATCGCCGATACGGCTTTTCGGTTCGATTCTGGGCTCTCCTGCCTCGGCTGTGCGCAGGCCAGCCCTCCAACGCAAGGAAGAAGCCAAGCCGGCGGTTTGTCGACGTGCTCGGCCCCGCAGGGCCCCAGAAGAGAGGACCTGGAACGGCCGGGGGGGGCACTGGCAGGGACATCCCGGGCCCCTTCAGCCCCGGGCCTTCCCCTCAGGTGCGGGGGCCCCCAAACGGGGTGGTGGCCACAACGCGTGGCGAGTCGGTGGGGATTCGGCGTCACCGTGCGGTTTTGGGGCTCGGGTCGTTCTCCGAGGACGTCTCGGGCGACTGGGGCATCCGAGGTCCCAGAAGCGTTGGCCGTGCATTGACGGACCGCGCGGTGAGGTCTTGGGGGATTTCGAGGTCACCGCACGGTCTGTCACCGCACCGTTTGGGGACTCCAAATCCCTTCGGGTCCAGCCGCTGCAAGTGCTCCCCACCGGTCGGGTGTTGCTAGAAGCGCCCGTGGCCCAAGGTGCCCCAGGGAATTCCAAGGAAGCCCCCACGGCCTCCAGAGCACCCCTCACGAGGCCCAGAGGGCCCCAGGGGCTCCAGAGTCGAGCAAAAAGCTGGGGGCACATTGGGCCAGGGGTGCCTGCAGCAACCCCCGAACCAGGCGTCGTCGCCCAGTTTCGGGCCCCTGGACCACAGATGGACCCGGCTCGAAAACTGCCGCCGAGAGCCTGGGTTTGGGGCGCGAGTCGCGATTTTTCGCGATGCGTGCCACTCTTGTCCCAGACCTCCGACGTCAACGTCGACCTCCAGAGGTCCGCACCCACTCCCCAGGACCGGTTTCTCGCTCTGGATAATGTTTTGACGGACCCGAGGCCGCGTAAGGGCGCCAGGAAGCCAACAATATCGAAAAACCTCCCGGCTGCGTTTTTTTTCACAGCGCGAGGGGGTCCCTGGGGTCCCAGCGTCAGATCTCGGGGTCGGCTGCGCGCAGGGGCGGCCCCTCGCCCTAGGTGGCTCCGGGGCGGCCTGGCCGGCGCCCGGCCTGTCAGCCCCTCTCCGGTTGCGGCCGTCTCTGCTCCCGGCCGAGGCGTGGGCGGGCGGCCCGAAGGGAGAGCAGGGCGCTCGGAGACGGGGCCCCCAGGAGTAAGTCGGGCCTGTCCCTCTACAGGAGGACTCTTCAAAAACGGTCCACAGATAGCCTGGGGACGAGTTGTTTGACTCTTGTGGGCAATTTTTAGAAATATTGTTTTAAGTTGTCGCCCAAAATCCCCCTGTAGGAGGACACGCCCGACCTAACCCCAGGACCAGCTCTTCATCCTAAATCGGTTTTGACGGTCCTGGGGCCCGGCGAGGGCTTGCAGAGGCCGCAAACGTCGACAAACCTCCGCCCTGATTTTTGTCAGTGCGCTGGCTTCCTGGGGCGCTCGGAGCCGAGGCGGTTGCGGAGGGAATGGGGGGGCGAGGAGCGCAAGCAAGGAAAGAGGGGAGGGGGGGAGGGCAAGCTGGGAGCGCAAGCGTCATGTCTGACGTCCTGCCCGTCCCTCCCATCCCTTGCCATTGCGCAGATCTCTTCTCTATTCGCGCGGCCGGATGTCGAACAGCGCAACGATTGCGAGAGAGTGCGCGATGCGGTAGGCGGAGGGGGAAAGCGGAGTGGGACGATTGGGTCGCCACGGAAGGAGATCGGTCGGGCCGCGCATTGGAGGCGACGATACGGGCGAACAGCTCAGGGGCGGGCATTGCATGCATTCGCAGGGGAGCCTCGGCGAAGACATGGACCTCCCCCTAGGGCAATTCACCCCCATCGTCGCCCCCGAATGCAAGCTTGCTCGGGGGCCCCGATGGTTGGGTGCGGTGTGCAGAGGAAAAGAACAAGAAATCCGCGCAGAGCTCTGAGAGTTCATGCTTATGCAGCTATTCCATTCCGAGCGTGAGAACAGCGGCCTGCGCGCTTGGGTCTAGCCCCTCCTGAAGCTGCGCTCATCCTGGTCGTTGACAGTTGGCGTTTCTGTGTAGATGTCTGGTGATGTTTGTGTTCCGCGCGCTTCCCTTTAGCCCTCCATATTCCCATGCCCGCCCAGCCACAGCCGTTTCTGGCCTGGGTTGGCTTATCCTGATTCCCTTCGTTCTCTCCCGTTACAGTAACACCTCCTCCTTCTCGCCTTCTATCGTGCGCTGTTCAATGACGTGTGCGGCGCAGCTTGCGACACTTGTGCGACACGTGCTTGAACAAAAAACTCAGCAACATCGTGTCTTTCAGTGGCAGCTGAGCCTGTGACGATCCACAAGGCCTCGCGAACTAATCAATGCCAGTCGACGACGAAGAAGAAGCTGGTGATCAATGTGGCGGAGGTGGCAGGTATCAAGAATCGCCGCAACAAGTGATGATTCTGACCCCGACGTGAAGTACAAGCGCTGGAAGACGGAGCTGGCACGATGGAGCAGCACGACGGACAGTCCTAAGGCGAAATGGGGGGCAAAGCTGTCCAGGTGTCGCTCGGGCGCGGCCAATGAGGCGATTTCGGACATGGGGCTTGCGGAGATCATCGGGGAGGAAGGCCTGGACAATGGATCGACGATCCTCGACGAAGCGTTTGCCCCGTGTCTAGAGCAGACGATGCCGCGCGCGTTCGAGAAGACTGTGTACACGGGTTTCCGTGAAAAGGGTCACAGCATGTTGGATCACAGTTCTGGCAGCGGTGAGTCGGTTGAATGAGTTGACGCGCGAGGGAGTTCAGGTACCACCCGAGGCATGAGGTTACACCATGATGAGGCATGCCAAGATAGGCGAGAAGGGTGAGGACATGATCAAGACGTGGACGGCCAGCAGCTTCACCGAGACGGAGGTGATCAGGGCGCTGGTCAAGCTCGACAAGGTCATGGTCGACAAGGGCGACAGGCAGTTTTTCGCGGACGGCGAGAAGCACCAGGGCGGCGGCGAGGAGAGCTACCCGGTCGCGCGTGGACTCAGAGGTGGACGACGACGGCCCAGATCACATCCACGTCGTGGAAGATGAGTCGCGGGAGGTACATGTTGAGGGAGACGTCACGACAGCCCTGGCACCAGATCAGGCCGTCCGCCAATCCCCCAAGCTTGAGACGAACAACCGCGGCTACCACAAGGGCGGTGGCAAGTTTGGCGGCAA